ACCACGGAGGCGATCTCGGAGTGCCCGTGAACGTCGTGACGGTCCGTTAGCGCCCTGAGGCGTATAATATATTGTACATGGTAAGTGTATAATATCAAGCATATTGCTTATAGGTACCTACGCGACGGCGGCGGAGAGTTCACGTCTACGAGAATATTATTGCCGCTGCTGCGACGGAGGCGACCGGTTGTTGTGTATAAATGTATAATATACCTATAATACGTGTACATGGTGTATATAATATGCGAGTGTGTGTGTATGTTAGACGGCGGCGGCGAATTCAGCACCCGATAGGTAAGTTCGCGGTGAAATGGCACACAGCCTCTTTGGCCATGGACCAGTTTCGTATGCGTGTTTGAACATTTTTACTCTTTTTATCGCTCCCCTTCACCGAGGTCTCCTTCGTCCGCCGCAATGTTTCATATCCGGAATATTAGTGAGCGTTCGTTCGTTGTTGTGCCCCTGTGGACGGTTTTTTCTTCCTATTTCTTCGAACAAAAACGAAAACGCATCTCAAATAACAGCCGTTTGATATAATTACCACAGCGCTGACGTCTTTGTATAATATCTCGTCGCGTTTAAATCATGATAATATCGATTTAGGTATTATGATACGTGTGTGCCATAATATTGAAGTGTGTTTTGCGTATACAGGACGACGACTGCCTGGTGTGTAATTTTTCTCCGAAAACTATTAGGATTATGTTAGTATATTATAATATAAAAGTGACCAAAATAAAATATTTTTTATGAGCGTACTGTGTATACAACTATACAATGTACATATATAGGTGCTTAACGCAGTTGACCACAAAACAATTTAAAATTACAAGTTATTGGCACTGGGTTTCTGGGTGTAGGTGGTACAATAATATTGTTAGCAAATTCGATTTCAACTCGTGCGGTCGTGCAGACACGTTTCTCGTTTTAACGGCCATCGTATTCATAAAACAATCGAATTTATTATTATTCCAAAACCTCACAACTTGGTAGGTATTAATGTATTATTGTAATTTGTAATCACTGCTATGAAATGTTTTGAATTTTTCTCTCCTATTCGTGAGTTTAAAATATAAAAGTAAGTACCTATTGCATCTGCAGATGCTTATAAGTAAATTAAAAATATTCAATGAAAAGTTGTCTTGAAAAATTGGCCATGAAGGATTTTTTACTATTTAAATTTCGAACTTAAAAAGATTGGTAAGTCTTAGTTTAAAAATATATCTCCACAAATTATTTAAAAGAATTCAAAATATAATATAATAAATACTGTTAAGAACAAGAATATTTAAATTTCAAAGCATAATTTATTTCTATAATAATACTGTTTATATCGTAGGTAAACAAATAAGCGAGGATACAACTAATTCGCAATCTTTTCTTAACTATAAATAACAATCAATTACACAATAAAGAATACATTTTATTAATTTAAAAATAAACTGATATAAGTATAATATTACTCATACGTCTTCTAATTTAATGTAAAGTACATTATTCATGATAATCTGTCATTGCACATAAAAATGATTACCTACCTACTGATAAACTTAATTTAGGTAATTATTTTAATTGTAATATGTTTCAATATATTATACTCCGGAGTTTGGAGTATAACATGTACAGGCCACAAGGCATATCGTAGTAGAAGTAGTATAGGTAAACTAATTTATATTAGAATATACCTTAAGTAAATGTTGAGCAATTATTCCCTAATCGAGAAAATCCAAAGTAGTCATTATCGCGAGATCGGGTAGATAGAAGCCGTCTACTTATAGTCGAACCATACAACATCTGGAGATTTCTCTTTTTTCTTCATACGAAGCATGAACTATGACAAGTCATTGAACTAAGTAATTATATAAAGTTCAAGTACCTAGGTAATTAAAAACTATTAAAGTATTGATTTCATGAAATGCAAAACATTTAAATATGATTAATTTTTATTAAATTACATGTATAATTATTATTTTATCGATTTATAAGAGTGTATAGCTATATTTATTTAGTATACTTTATAGTTTATACTAGACGATAAAGTGGTTCTATATTATGGCAATATATGCATATCGGATATTTGAATATATTTTTTTTTTACTTTCAATTTAAAATTAATAATTTTACACTCTGTAAATATTGGTTTACATTAAGTTCGAGTTATGTTTCAAAGTTAATATAAAATAAGATAAAACAAAATAAAATAAAATTACCTAGATTATTTTATTAAAACGTGGGACTTGTTTCAGAAGATCCTATTGATGGAAAGGTGAATTCATGACGTTTAATGGTAGGAGTTAAACAATCAGTAAGTCACTATACCATGTTAGGACGAGGATAAAATTTGATGTTATATCATTAGTTGACATTTTTTTGTTTTTATGAGACTTGAGAGAACAGTGATAAGAAGGATATTAGGGCAGCAAGAAGATTTGAGAAGTTAGATTTAATTGTTGTTTATAGTAGGTTTTGATTTGATTGATGGTGACCCTTGGTTACATTTCCATATTGTATGAACGTGGTTTTGTCTGGATTCCATTGGCTGATTGTTGATGATAAGTATTCTTCGTAGTTTCATTGTATAATAATATAATATTTTGTTTTATATTTTTCCCACTTCCGGTGACTAAGTAGATACTACTTCTGAGCCAACAAATTCATGCAACGCGACTTCTGTGTGTCTTCGTTATTAAAATAAAATACATATAATTAGAAAATCTGAATTAATATGACTATGTAAAAACGTTTTAACTGCATTCACATCGCAAGTTTAATATTTTATAGAAAATCCTAACGTTAGGTTAGTTTTTGAACAGAATCATGGGTTCTCATGCATATCGGTAAATATTCACCAAAAATGTTAAATAACAATTTATAATAATACTGCTATATTAGGCACTTCCGATTCAGTGTTGCAATATAAAAATACTAAACATTGATCGATCAATGTTATAGAGTTTTCTTTAGTACTTTTTCATATTTCCATTATTGTCGAACAATGATATTAATCAAAAATAAAAATACCATGTTTTACCTTTCGACGCCTGGGCGGAACACAGTGCTGCAATTCAAATGACGATGTTGTATACTATTATACAAGGAGTTACCTAACCCTAACGCAACAAGTATTAGTTTTGGATTTCTAGAGTTTTCAAGTAGTTATATAAACACAATATTCTAGCCTAGAATCTAAAATTATTATATTTAATTCCTAATAATACAATAAAATGCAGAGTTCAAATTCAATATTATAATTTGGTAATTACGAACTAGAAATTATTAGATAATCTAAAATTTAAAACATTCAATATTAATAAATATATAATTATTTTTATTGCATATAAATCCTAGCCCTAATAAGCCATTACTATCTACCAATATAACTTAATTTTGTTATATTCAATATTTTTCAATTTGTTTTCAAATAAAATAGGTAGTTAATGATTATATATACTATGCGAAAACTAGAATATTTTGAAAATATTCTTAAGCTCATTATAGTATAACTGGTTCACTAAAATATGTTGAGTGATTATTCATGCAACTCGGCATAAGTTATTTAAATTATTTTATTATAATTTATATTATAAAAAAGTATTTATACTTATCTATAATAAGCTAGATATAAATGTTGGTATAGATATACTTCATTTTGTATGATTAGTTAATTGTTAGTTTAAAGTTTATATTTTAGATTCTAAGGTGAGCGAATATGTTTTTTTATTTTTTGAGTCTATGTCTATGTACACGGTGAGTAGATAGTCAAATAATGCTTTGATTTCCAACTTTAAATAGTGGTTTTTGGTAGAAAATTGGATCTAATTGGGACTGAAAAGAGGTAAAAACAGAACATTTTAGGTAGTTTTTGTTTTTTTACATACCAAAAAGAAAATGAATTTTAATATGACAAAATTGATGTTTTTTTGTTGTAAATAAAAAATAAATAATCGTAGATTCATTGGATTTTCATAAAAAATATGTTGAAATGTTACGTAGTAAAATAAATTTGGTGTTAATTGCTATATGTTATAGTTATAGCTTAGATAGGTATTTACTAAAAGAAACCTGTAGTAATAATCCATAACATCTTACAAACACTTCAAAAACTTGAATCATAAATAAATTTAAAATTAAAAGAAATGTTTATACTCTTAGTCTTATAAAAATGAAATAAAATATGAGTTTTATTTTATAAAAATCATAAGCTTAAAAGAATAAAATCAATGTAGTAAACAATACCTATTAATCTAAATTAAAGTTTAACAATTACAATTTAGATTTTATTTACCTACATCATTGCTTGGTGACGAAATAAAGACTCTTTTTAAGTGATAAATTATATAATATACTAGCTACCTGACTTTCCTCCGGAAGAAATTATTTTTTTATAATTTAATTTAAAAACATAAGACTATTTTTTGGCCATACAAATAATACAACGATTATAAAATAAAAAAATAAAAAAAATAAACAGACATCGTTATCGGTGAATATATGAAAATAATTGGTAATTAGTTAATTATTATTATTATTATAATGAGGGTTCAAAACAGGTTTCCTTCGTTTCCAAAATCAAGTTAGATACTTATATATGTATATATATATATAGATTAAATAGTAAAATCATATTTCTAGTATTGTATAATATTATGTAAACATAACAGTTTACCTACCTATTTTTACTATTTACATGAACATTTATTACTTAAATATTGAACACTAATATTATTTTAGTGATTTGTTCTTAAAAATAAATTTCCACTGAATGCGATGGTGTAATTATAATTTAAATACGATTTTTGGTTTTCTAATTATAATTTTTGAAGGTAATGAAGTCAAGTATGTCCCTATCTATTACGGGTTGTTTACACTCCGAATCAGCCTCGGATTTGACCGCCACGCTGACTGGTGGAGAAATTAGTGTGGGATGTTTTACAGGACGTTTTTTTCGGTAGAGTTAGACCTCCTTATCTCTAGCTTTCATGGGTACCGTATAAGTCTGTATATTTTATTAGGTTATATGATCTAAGAGAGGGATCGGCCCGGTCGCCAATTTTCCCTCCAAATTCGAGATAACCAACTATCTTCTCGGTATTCGGTAATCGGTATATTGAATGCTTTGCAGTCTGCTAGTCTTCGTTGTTCTCCTATGGCTTTGTTCAACGTTGAACGTTCATTTCATTGTTATTTTGCTTCACGTATCTGACAGATAATCTAATATGGTACGTATTTACTATGATTATTAATAGTAAGTCATTGTTACTCGTTTGTTCGTCGCATTTTTATCCTTACCTACCATAACATTTTCAAATTTTCAAACTACTATTCTTTTAAAAAGTATGACGTTTTAAAAGGATTTCCCCTTGAAAAACAGATCTGACAACTACTAATCCACACTCGATATTGTCCGTATGTAAAAACTATATACCTTGGTACATTTTTTCGAAATTTAAAATCATAATTTTTGTGAATCAACGATGTAAGTATTTTCAATAAAAATTAAAAGTTATCAATTATTTTGATATCAATTTGTGTTATTTATCCTGAAAGTTTCACCCAGCTATTGTAGTCTCAGAAGAAACAAACACTGTAGGAATTTGTTTATTCGATACCCTATACTTTCATCCCTTCTTTCCTTTATTATCTGTTTACCTATTTATTCACTAATATTCTGTATAATTTGTTACAGTTATTACAGAAAATGTGGTAATTTAAATTAAACTGATTATTTAATATTCTCAACTGGTATGAACCAAGAAAGAAAAATGAGTGAACAATTGAAATTAAATGGTCAAGACAGTGGTGACATTGGTATGATCAAAGGTAGGTATTTATAAAAAAATATAATTTATTCTTTAAGATTAAAATATAAAAAAACCCTATGTCATCCACTAGATAATAATCTCACATTGGTTATATAAATTTGGTAATATGTAAATTCACTCTAAAATAATAACAGAATTAAATGTGTTAAATGTGACACCGTAAATGCCATCATAGTCAATGAACATCTTCAATGTTCAAAATATTTTGTCTGTTGATTGATTCAAATAAAAATATAAGATAAAGGGGAATGTAAAAATATTAGTTTATTGATCAGTGAATTATTCTAAAAGACAACATTTTACCAAAGGTAAATCTGTGTATTGTCCTAACTCCCGGTACAAACAATCCTTATATTGTTCTTTATCATACAATCAGCTATATAAATATTATAATAAGTAACCATGTGCTTATTTATTTTGGAATCAATAGTTTTAGGGTCAGTTTTGAGAATGTTTGCTTATTTAAATCCACGAACCACCAAGGGATTTTATGAGCATATCAACCCATGTTTTGAACTTTTAGTTAGGTTTAGTCAGGAATCATTTTTTAAACATCATTATTAATGAGATAATTGTCGGGAATATGAAGGTAATGGTGCAATCATTTCATTGTAGTATAATGTTAGTTTTAGAACAAGAATGCAATTATTTAATATCATAACTTAAAAAAATAGAACATTTTTAGTTCTATTTTTGATTTAGAATTGTATTCAATTTAAATACCACATCATTGGAAAAAATCAAATAATATTTTGTTGTAAAAAACATTTATTTTATTTAGTTAAAGAAGAAGATGAGTTACGTGAAACAAAATATGATGTAAGTGTACATGAACATTTTAATAACGCCGATGAAGAAATCGATATATCAAGTAAGAGTTTCCTAAATTGAATAGAAATTATAAAAATATTTACATTAAATCCTCCACAATGCTATGCAGCACAATAATTTGTTAATTTTCAGTATGAATTCACTTTGTTCTTCTATATTATGAAAATCAAAAGATATAACATATTCAGTTTTATCAATTAAAATTAAATTATTATACCTACTTTTTTAGACATTGGTTTCTTTCCAAAAGAATTGCTATTGGAAGAACAGCGCTTAAAAGAAGATCACACAAAAAAAGATGCAGAATCTTTGGTAAACATTTATTCTAATATCTCACTTTATAGAATTTGAATGAATATTAAATTGAATTTTATCTGATACATATCAGCATCTGCCTAATATGTATTCATTACAATTACAAATTAAATAAAAATAGAATATTCATTTTTAAATAGAAATTTTTTTTTATATTTAATTTTGTTTATTATTTGTTAGGTTAATGATTTAGATGAAAAAGTAAGAAAAGAAAGATTTCAAAATTTACTCACACTTTTAAGAAATAGTATTAAATTATCCAATCTTTTTGAATCCAGATTAAAAAAATGTAAACTTCAAATTATTAAGTAAGTGTTAAAAGTTAAGTTATTTATGATTTGTTGTTTAATATATTTTTGATGACTGGAATGTGATTTAAATTTAAATACTGTTTGTAAAAATATTTTACGATTAATAAATTAACTGTATTATTTTTTTGTAGAAAAGAACTGGGAAAAGCTAAAAAAATGAAAGAAAATATGCCAAGTCATAAAGATGAATCGACCAAGATTACAAGTAACCAATCAATTGAAGTAAATATTATATTGTTTATGTTAAACGTTTGTCTAAGTCAGCGTTTCTTAAACTTTTTTATCCGTGGAACCCTTTTTTATGTGCACTTTCACCGTGGACCCCTAACTTTTTTTAGCTTTTTTTTATTGAGCTCTTAACAATAAATTATTACAGCTCGACAATTAGAACCACTACATTGTTTCAATACTTTCAATGCGTCATTTTATGTAAGGAATATTTGCAATAAAAGTTATAATTATGTGTCAACATTTAAAATTTTGAATAAAAGCCACAAGTTTCGGGGAACCCTGAAGTGACCTCCGCGGAACCCTGGGGTTCCACGGAACACAGTTTAAGAAACGCTGGTCCAAGTGACTGATCACGGTCAGTAACATAAGGTACGACTGATCTATGTCATCAACTTACATAGACAAATCTAGGTACTCGTCCAATATGCTACCACACGTTTAATGGTTTAGTGTATGATATCTACCGTAAATATTTTATCTTCCATCGACTTAGTTGATTTTCATCTTTTTGTAAACATCTCAGCTTGTGTTACCTTTATTTGAAATACCCAATACCAAACAAGTTCTACGATATCGCACAAATTTAAACCATTTTATTTATATTATAATATATATATATATATATATATAGAACTTATGCAATCTATACTAAAAAAAGAAGTACAATAAGCATAATGTGTGTTTTTTTTTAAATTATAGCAGTGGCTTGAGTAGCTTGAAAGACGTATAATTATAAGTAAATAAATTAGACACTTAAACACTGTTAGTATTATCATTTCATACAAAATTACATTTTCTAAAAAAATATATTTTGGTAAAAATTGTTTTTCTTTGCCAAAAAGCTTGGAAATGTAAAACAGAACCCTCTCAAGTGTGCCCTCAGAAATATGATTCGATTAGGGTGGGGGGGGGGGGGCGAACGGTTAAGATTTCATACATACTAGTATTTCATCTAAGACTATATGACAAAATAATATATAATTTTACTTTGTCAATTTGTGTATGTACGTGATTGACACTGGTCAGAAGTACAAACACAGCGTTTGTTTGAATACATATTTATACAGTTTATTAATAGCTATTGAAGAATATTATTCTTTAGTCATATTATAATTAGTATTGACATTTAGGATATAAACGAAGAAGAGTATTATTTAAGCTTATTTCAACAACCAAAATTATTTCATGGGAATCTTAAGGCCCACCAAATTGAAGGTCTCCTATGGATTAGAGTATGTATTTAAATTTATAATTTAATATATTAAGTATTTTTTTAATTTAAAATGGAAGTTATCTTAGTTTTTATACAAATTACATGTTAAAAAATGTGTTCCATCTATTTTATAAGTTTTACAATGAGTTATTCACTCCCCACCACTTCTCAATTTATTGGGATACTATGTAAAGTATGAACATTTTTATGTATTTTTAACATAATGTATTATGCCATAAATTAATATTATTTATTAAGCCATCTATACAAATAATAAGAAAAACTTTTTTTAGACTTTGTATGAAAATGGTTTGAATGGAATTTTAGCTGATGAAATGGGACTTGGTAAAACTGTGCAAACTATTGCTTTTTACTGTTTTCTTTTAGAAATGGGAATAACTGGACCATTTCTTGTCATTGCTCCACTATCTACAATTCCCAATTGGCTGTCGGAATTTTCAAAATTTTCTCCTAAAGTAAATAACCAAATTTATTATTTTGAAAATATGTATTTAATATTTATGCTCATTTATTATTGTTATAGCTCCCTACTGTTTTATACCATGGTACAATAGCCGAACGCATTGAATTGCGACCAAAGTTCAAAAACACTCAAAAAGTTAATAACTTAAACTGTCAACCAGTTATAATAACTACTTATGATGTTGTGCGTTTCGATATAAAATTTGTAAAAAATATTGATTGGAAATTCATAACAATTGATGAAGGACAAAAAGCGAAGAACGCCAATGCCCAGATATCCAAGTATGTCAAATATATTGTTATAATGATTGATTAAAAAAAAAATAATAATAATAAAAAATATTTTTTAGATGTATGCGTGAATTTAATTGTACCAACAAGCTCATACTTACAGGGACACCTATTCAGAATGATATGTCAGAATTATGGTCATTATTGAATTGGTTGATGCCTAAAATTTTTGATAAACTAGAAGATTTTAACTCTTGGTTTGTTATTGATAAGTTCTTTGATTCTAATGACAAAATTGTTAATATGGCCAAAAAGGATGAGTTATTAGACATCATTCTTAAGGTAATAAACTTTTTACTTATCTGGAAACTAAATGATGACAGTTTATTTAATTTATCTAAAATATTAAAAAGGTAGAAGTACCTAACATTAGACTCCAAACAAATTTAAAATTATTTTGTCATGCATAAAATGCAATTAAGTTTGGATTATTTTTTATTTTACACTATCTCTTTTACTATTGTGAAATAAGTATGTTCCACAAATTACAAATATGATAAAAACCTTTTTTTGTACCTAAAATCAATGAATTTTAGTGAGTAATTCAGGGGGGTAATTCATTTTAGGTAGTAAATGAACTACCTTTAACTATTTCTTTTTCTGTGGAACACAGTATTAAAAACAAGAAAAATTAACCATTGACTTTTGTTACAGATATTAAAACCCTTTATTTTGAGACGGGAAAAAATTGAAACTGATCTAAAGCTCCCACCAAAGAAAGAAATTGTTATTTATGCTCCACTTACAGAGACACAAATGGAATTATATGAAGCGACATTGAATAGACAAATGGATATATTACTGAATAAACCTAAGGTATTTTTTTTTATTATTATAACTTATAATAAGTGACACTCAAATAAAAACATTCATTTTTCTAAAACAATTTTGACAATTGAGGTGCTAGATAATTAATGAGTTTCTATGCACATCTTCTTTGGTTGGGGCAAACCAAATTCTAAAATAAACAGAATAATGAAACAAGTTTCTCTTTTTAGGAATGAAGTATGGAATTATTTCTTTCAATTACAATAGTATGAGGAACATAAAAAATCTCTGTTTTTGAGAAATGTGAACAGTATTTTTTTTTTTTTAATGATACATTCATAATTCATTGCAATTTTTGAGATAACGTTATTACCTAAATATTTTTAAGGGTAAAAAAAAATTGTTGGGAAAAGAACTTGTTACTTTGTTCACAAAAGAACAGGGATTTGGAACAAGTATCTATTTTACAAAAATAAAATGGGAAATAAACAGATTACTTTTTAAAAGGGACATTTTCATTGTTATTAATTTTCATTCTCGGTCTTGCTATTTCCAATATAATATTACAAAAGTGAAGCTTTTTAATAATAATACACTTCTTACTCTTGTCTCTTTTTTAAATTTAGATCATTTAACATACTTCACTTTATTATTCTAGAAACGAAATACATTTTAAAACCAAGAATATTTTTTTTTGTTTTGCTCGTAAGCTAATACTTCTACTTTTAATAATAATAGTTGTATGAATCTGTCATTGATAACTAGGTTTTTTTCAGGATAGTGAAGATGTTATTCTCCAAGTAAATAGTAAGAGAAAATGTGTGGAAAGCATCATCAAATACACTGATCTTAACGCTATTAGAGTAAATATGCCAGAAAAAGAGTAAGTGTAAAAACATTGATGATGACTGTATTTTTTTAATTCAATAGGTAAAAAATTATGCAATAACCTCTTTTAAAATAATAATCTGTATTCCAATCAATACCTCTTAAACTACTAGAACTTTTTAGATATATGTTAGGCACTGCGCCACTGCCTGAGAATAAAATAAAATATATATAAACAGATATTTTTATCAATATACATTATACATTTTGAAATTGAAATTAGGTACTTTGGAATACACCAACTTAACTTTATTTTCCTGGCCTATTCTTGATTGTAACTTAATAATTACAGTTTAATGTTTATGAGCTTAAGTTTCATTTTTTTGTACCTAATGCTTTTGCCTTTACGACAACATAGCTGTAACATTGAGTAAAATACTGATATCTACCAACTGCATATTATGATATTGACTAATTGTGTTGTAATTAATTCTAGTCCTGAACATAGAAGTGTGGCTATTTCAGTTCATATGCAAAACCCATGTGTTCAATTGAAGAAAATTGTTAATCATCCATATCTCGTACAAATGCCTTTAATTCCGGGGGAAAATAAATTACTTGTTGATGAAAACATTATTAAAGTTAGTGGTAAATTTCAGTTACTTGATGCTATGTTAACAAAATTGAAAATACTTGGCCATAAGGTAATATATATATTAAAAGTTTACATTAAATAATTTATGTTAAATAATATATAAATAAAAATTAGTATTTAAAATATTTCATCAATGAATATTAAGATGGCACATCAGTAAAAAAATATTCTCAGTCTTATAGACATAGAATATAGTTAAAACTTAAAGCCTGTCTATACTCTGGCTTGGGAAAAACGACTGTATAACTTATCCATTACTGCTCATAAGTCGGTTTCATATACCAAACCATACTGGTCAGCCACAATCGCCAAGAGGCATTGTTGATATTGGTGTATATGTAGCGGTAGCATTCACAATAATTTCACTATTTGTCTTTGAACTAATGTTAATGTTATTATGTAGTGGGAATGGAACTATGGTTTGAAAAAATCCGGCTAGCAGCACCCTTGACCATCAGTATCAGTGCATGGTTTATGGTCATTCTCTTGTAGTCTGGACTTTCTCTAGGAGTATACTTATTTTGATTACATTTTGAAACAAAGTTATTACCTATTAGCTATTACAATCACAATGAACAATATTATTGTGTTTTCTCAGAAGCTCTAATTTTTTCTGTTACTTATAATTATAATTATAATTATAACTTAAAAATCAAAATATTAAAAAATCTTTCAGAAAACAGTTAATGTTATGTTTTATTTTAGTTATAACACCTAGCTTATAATATTTAATTTCAACAATGATTAAATTACAATGTGTGAAATATGTAGAAGTTTTAATTATATTATACACGTGTAAAATAGATTTAAAAAAAAATTATACTAGAGTGCCCTCTTAAAGTTTGTGAATAAGTGTATTTTAGTCTTTAGAATACTATTATTACTCTATAATTAACAATTTAAATACTTAAAGAAAATCTTATTTTACCTGCTAACAGTATGTATTGAATTTTTTAGGTGTTGCTATTTTCAACAATGACACAGTTGATGGATTTAATTGAAGAATTTTTAATGTTTCGTAAATTTTCATTTACCAGATTAGATGGAACTATGCGTATTCAACATAGGGTTGATGCAATAACTACATTTAACAGTGATCCAGATTGTTTTATAATGATTCTTTCGACACGGGCCGGTGGACTTGGCTTAAATTTAACATCAGCAGACACTGTTATTTTATTTGATAGCGACTGGGTATAGTTGAATTTAAAAAATGTTCTCATAATTTATGCTATTTTTATTTAGCCTCATAAAACTAAGAAGGGGTGGTGTCAGATTTTCATCTGGTTCAGTCAGACCACATCCCACAGTCAAATAGTTTTTGTTTTCATTTTCAGCATCTTCCCTGATCACAGCTAATAATATTATTGTTCTTAATTAAATTGTATTTTGTGTAACTAAGTAAATAGTTGTATTCAATCTATTTTTTCTATTTCATAAAATGTCATAGTCCTTTTATTTTTTTATTGTGTTACAACACTGTTTATAAACTACAACATATTTTTGATAATACCATATTTTTCTTAACTTTACTTTTTACCACCTATGGTTTGATCTTGCTCTGAAAAGTTATTTGTTAATTTTTTATCATGGTGATCTATTCTGTCCTGCTTATTAAAGTTTGGATTTGTTATCATCCCGCCATGACTAAAAATGCATTTCAATAAAATTATGATATGAGTATTAATGTATTATATACTAATATGATAATTTGGGTTATACTTTATAATCCATGTTTGCAAACCTGTCTTGGAGATTTAGATCAATTATATTGCTGTTGATCAAATAAAAATAATTAAAAAAGTGTTGGACATAGGACTTTTAATAACTAATGTTCATTCACAACTATATAAGTATTTATGTTTCAGAACCCTCAAGCTGACGTACAAGCGCAAGACAGGTGTCATAGGATGGGCCAAACTAAACCTGTTGTTGTTTATCGTTTTATTTGTAAGAACACTTTTGATGAAAGAATATTGACATTCGCAACCGCAAAAAGAAAACTAGAAAAAATGATCATTGGCAGTGGTAAAAATATTGCATTATTTCTTTGATTAATATTTTCGGATTTTTTATAGCCCCTCTATTATTTTAACATTTATTTTATTAATTAATGTTTAAGTAACATATCGTTAGTTAAAATTTACTATAAAAATGTTATATTTTCGTATTTTCAGAAGTATTAATAATAATATATTTAAAATAATTAGTATTTTCAGAAGTATTAGTAATAATATATTTAAAATAATTAGTATTTTTAAGCTTAAACATCATAGCAATTTTTGGCATACTTAAAATTCTAAGTAAAAAATTAATTTTAATTGAATTCCGTTTCTATCAGTTTTTTCTGTAGTAAATGTATTTAATTTAATGCATCCTAGTAGTAAATTAGTGCATTCAATTGTTATTTGAGTTATTTCTAACTAATAAAGACATATTCTTAATGAAACATATTCATTATTTTATAACTGAGTGAAAAGTGTTATTGTATAATTACTATTTTACAAACTAGGTTCATTTAGTAGAACTACAGCACTTACCGTGTCTAGCATTGAAGATCTGATGACTTTATTGAAATCATCAGAATACACTAAGAAAATACAACCAAATGGATTTAGTAAGTATTTTATTATAAGTATACGTTTTATAGGTTTATTTGTTTGATAGTCTTCCAATTTTGTGTTTATATTATTTTGTTTCTATAGTTCTGTCTGATGAAGAATTAGATGCTATTTTAGATCGATCTGATATGTACAATTCAGCACCAATGACACTTGCTTCTCAGACTGCTGAACACTTTAAAGTATTATCAAACTCTTAAATCTTTTTTTATCTACCAGATTTTGTTATAAGGATTACTTAGTTAAATGTCACTTTTAGTATGTAAATTTATTTTGATAAAATGTGAATTTTTAATGTCAAATATACTTCATACTATCATAAGATAATTTATACTTATTGTACATGTACTTTTATGAGTGCATTAAATTAATAATTATTATACTTAAATGTTTAAATATAAAATAAACTTTTCATTTTCTCACAAATTATTTGTACTTAAATATGCCATTACAGTAATGCACATAAATGTGTGATATTAATTAGTATCTGAACATTTTTTTTTTTATGGCAAAATACCTACAACATTTTTAAAATAGGCACCTTTTTTTGATTATTCAAAGTTTTAATGTCAATATCAGTTATTACCCGAGAAGTTGGAACCTATATAATCAAGTGGATGTGACATTACTATGACTCACTCAGCATGAAAGTTGCCGTTACTCACCGTATGGCGGTTGCACCAATTTACTAGTTTTATTGCATTTAAATCATATTTTACATGTATAAAATATACTCATTAAGTTAATACTATACATTTTCATTATTATTTTACAAATACAGTACTAATAAAGTAATAATAATTTTTAAGGGGGACGAGGTGACCGAGTGGTCTGACTCTTCCGCTGCGACGCAGCCGGTCGCGGTTCGATCCTCGGCCACCGGGCGGCATTTTTCTCCGGACAATTCGCGGTGACCGGAGAGCAAGTGCTGCCATCCCCCACCCCCGGGGCATGGCAGAAACCTACGGGTGCCCCATTCGAAATTCTGCCAAAACAAACACACACGTGTTCCCCCTACCGTTCCAAAAACCTACAAACCATCAATACAAAAAAACCTACAGTACCTATTAATAGCTAATGGCCTCAGTTGCCGGGCTCAGGATCAATTAAAAAAAAAAAAAAATAATAATTTTTAAAAAATAATCAAATAAGTGGATAGCGGTTCTGCTGTAATTAGGATTTAGGTGTTTAGACTTGTAGAGAGTCACCGTAATGGATGTGTTAAATTTGAATTCAATAATCATTGTATATGTAAAAACGATTCTGAGCAAAGGCAGTGTGTTATCTATAATATTAGTAAGTATATTTTAATATTTTTCAATATTATTGGTATGAAAGAAATTTATTTAACCATTTGACAATAGTTATATATAGTAAGTTGAATTAATTTTTACCGAAAAATCGCATTTGAAAATGTCATCGTGTTTTAAATAATGGACTTAAAAAGAGGTTTGTTATTATGGGCGCATGTAAATTCCGCCCGAAAATGGTAAATTCCGCCCAAAATGAACTACAGGTAAAATAAGGTACATGTAAATTCCGCCCGAAAAAAAATACAGGTAAAGAAACATACATGTAAATTCCGCCCGAAAAAAATGTATTACTGTTAATAAACAAATTTCTGAATTAAACATTATAATTTAGAAGTGGGTATTTAAATAAATATATATTTCACATAATATTAAGTCAATAATTACAACATAAATCATGTATAATCGTAAGAATAGTAATAATTATAAAAGTAAATATAAAAATTGGTAAATAAAAATTGTTAAAAATCTTAAAATAGTAAATATCATAATAATAATTAATAAGAGTCAAAATTAAATCATATCAATAATTAGCACAATATATATATTATATAAAATTGTTAAAAATCTTAAAATAGTAAATATCATAATAATAAATAAGAGTCAAAATTAAATCATATCAATAATTAGCACAATATATATAAAATTGTTAAAAATCGTAAAATAGTAAATATCATAATAATAA